ATATGCAGCCTGTTTAATTTTGTATTTGTAAATGTGACTTGATTTCCTTTTTGGCAACAGCTACTGTCTAGAGAAAAGAAAAGATTTTTCTCTGTGTCTATTTAAAGTGACAGAAATATTGGAGTAAGTAATAAAGATGGAAAGCATTAATTACATACTTCTAAGAATTTAAAGGTCAGACAAGCTAAATATGTATGTTTTGCTCACTGGAATGTCTGTCTGTTGAGATTGTGCCAGGATAACTTTGTTCCTACAATAAAAGCACATATTTTAGATAGCCATCAACTTACTTTGGTATCCAAAAATTATACCAGATTGTTGCTTTGGTTGCTATATATCTTAAAAGTTTGGGACTCACATTTCTGATGTTAATGTGATTTGTTTCATGATCCACCCCCTTTGGCCATGTTTAGTTACTATGTCTCATTTTGCTTTCCTCTGTTCTCCCCTCAGCTTGTGTTGGAGTCTGTCAGCTGCTGCTATGTACCTGTCAGGCTAGTGACTTGTAATGTTTATTAATACAGCGTCAGTCTTGCTGTTGAAAAAACCGTGATGCTTCTCAGAAGGGTGCGATAGAACGAAGCTTTTGATTTCCAGATCCTGTCTGCACTGTGTGGTGAATACATTCTCAGATGTTATGCAGTTCACTGACCTGACAGTTGTGGAACCCCGCCTGGGACCCCATTTCAGCAGGACATATTTGAACAGAAACAGTTTGCAAAACTTTACACACTTAAACTCCTGCCAAGGCAAACTGTTAGCCACTTGAGTTTGTTATAAATACCCAGTGGCGGTGGTTGGAGGTAGCCCACGGTGTGTTTTATATTCTGAACTGAATGTGAGTGTCTTTGCGGTTATATAGAGTAGTAAATAATTGAGTTTGATTAGGGAGAGGGACCTCATTATCCCCCACCTGTGCCCAGCTGGAAGGGGAGGGTCGAAATGAAGCCATTAGCTGTCTCTCTTACTGGCATCTCAAAGAGCTCAAATACATCTGTGTCTTATTTTCTTTTCTGGCACAATCAGTCGAGCAAGCTAAGCAGGCATGACCGGATTTGGCAAGTCCCAAGGACTCTGGCAAAGATAGACAAGGAGAAGGCGGAGGGCAGTCATTTTGGCTTCTCACTGCCCATTAGTCTAGTGAGTTATGTTTTTGGAAAATGTCTCTTTTGAAAAAGAGTACTTTGTCCAATGTCAAATATCACATACTCACACAATACGCTTTGATCTTTTAAAAAAAAAATTTTGTCAGCGCAAGGGGAAACAAAATGTGGCATTCCCACTAGTGTAAACTCTCTTTATGGATAAAGAAATACCCGAAGGACTTCCTTTAAAGCAGGCATGCTGCAGTTATTATAAGGCTTTCTCTTGCTCATATATTTTCATTTTCTACCTTGAAATGCTCAAAAATGAACATGCATGGAATTGGGACCAGAACAGGCTGGGAACCAAAGGAGTACGTCTTCATCACAGTTATGAACTGGTCAGGACTGGAGGAGGGAGTGCTACTCTTGGCAGCCTTTTCCCACTTTCACAAACTGATACTGTGGCTCAGGAAACCAGGACGTTTTCCAAGGGCTTTTAAAAAGCAGTCTTGTAGGTCATATGGTTAGTCTAAGAGCTGGGACGTTTATAATCAAACTGAATTTGTTACAGTGGGAGTTGACCTTTTCCATAGATTGGGCAGTGGTTCCAATCTGGAAGATACGCTCTCTGGAAGTCTCTTCTTCCCCTTAGTCCCCCCAAACTCCCTTGGCCATAGGGAGGTTTAAAACACAGGCTTTGGTGTCTGGCTGACCTGGGTTCAAGTTCTGGTTCCTCCACTTCTTAGCTGCGTAATTCCAGGTATGTGTCTCAACCTTGCCAAACCTCAATTTCCTCCATTATAGAATGGGACTGATGATAACACCTACCTTTTCTGGGAGGATTAAATGAACAAAGTAAGTGCTCAGTAAATGTTGACTGAAGTCATTTTCTCATCATAATATATCACTTCTTCGTATGAAGAAAAGCTGATAGTTATTATATTATCTATTGCTTATTAAACATTTATTTTATGACAGGTATTATGTTAATTATTTTAGAAGTATTTAGCCCCGACAGCAATCTTATAGTCTAAGAATTAGCCTCATTTTGTAGATGAGAAAACTAGAAGTTAGAGAGATTATATCATTTACCCAAGGAAGGCAGAGCTGGGACTCCAAAGCAGGCTCTATTCTAGAACTTGCTGTGCTCTGCTGCCTTCTGGTGTTGCCACCATTTTTTCAGTATGATACAGAGCTAAATGACAGCTATGTTTTGAGGCCTCCCCACTAAGAAGCTTCTCTGATCCCCCTCACCCCTACCGGCTGGGTTCAGTGCCCCTATGTTTTGGCAGCACTCTGAGCTTGCCTTCATCTTTGTGCTTATCATGCAGAGCTGTAATTCTTTGTTTGCTTCTTTGTCTTTCTCTCCCACTGGACTGTGCTACTTGGATTAAGGACCGTATTGTTGATTTCTGAATCCAAAATAGGATCTTTAATAGATGAGTGACCTCAGGTAAATTCCCTAATATTTCCAGCCTCAGTTTTTGCAAAATGGATATAACTTATTAGTGCCTATTTTAGGGTAGAATGAGTTAATGCAGATTTAAAAGGCTTAACACAGCACTTGGCACATACTAAGTGCTCAGTAGGTAGTAGATGCTACTATTATTGTTGTAATTGTTGAATAATAACATCTTGTACTCTGCAGAAGCAGACACTTAATAAATCTCACTGGATTTCTCTGCATTATCACCATGATTTTTTTTTTTTTTTTTGCGGTACGCGGGCCTCTCACTGTTGTGGCCTGTCCCGCTGCGGAGCACAGGCTCCGGACGCGCAGGCTCAGCGGCCATGGCTCATGGGCCCAGCTGCTCTGCAGCATGTGGGATCCTCCCAGACCGGGGCACGAACCCGTGTCCCCTGCATCGGCAGGCGGAGTCTCAACCACTGTGCCACCAGGGAAGCCCACCATGATTTTTGACTTCCACCATCCCCACCCAAAGCTGAGTTAAGCCGAGGTGGAACGTACCTACTTCTCTGGTTTACTCTCTCAAAAAGGAAAACCTTAAAACCGGAGCCCAGGGTGCCCTGCTTTGAGCTTCAGGGGGGTTTTGATGCCTGGGCCAGGGGCTGCTTACTGATAGTGTCCCAGTGCTGCCACCATGCCCAGCCAATTGCACATTTTCATGGCCCTGTGTTATCAATTATGAGCAATGAAGGTTGAGATCCATTCCCCCAAATAAGCAGTATTTCCTGGGGGTTTGGGGGAAATGGGCTGAATGGGGCCTCTTCTCTTGGGGTGATGACTTGGGACAGGGGCACACGAGAGAAGGAACATCGTAAACCCCTTTTACTGTTTGCCAGCCTTAGTTCCAGGTGCTTGGCATTCATTGTCTATTTTATCCTCCTGGCAATTCTGTAGGGACATGGCCTCCTCATTTCGTGGACACAGCTGAGGTTCCCACATGTTAAGACAACATTTTGGTTAGTCATGGAGCCAGGATTTGAACCGAAAGGTATTTAACTCCCAACCCATGTGTCTTCCTCTCCAATATGTTGCCTTCCAACTTGGGTTCTGATTCCAGCTCTGCCCCTATAAATAGAATCTAAGCTGCTCAGATAAAGACCTGTGCCCCTACTTCTCTCTTTGTCCACCGCCACCTCTAGTTCAGTGCTTAGTGCCGAAATGCTCATTGTGTTAGGTTAATGCTGGTACAAAAACTTCCCTCTGGTAACTGAGTGGCTTTGCACTGGGACAGAGCTGAATTCCTCAAGTGAGTAATCTCTTTTTAAAATACCCATACGTTTTTCAGTGTTTACGAGACTTGACAGGACCTAACTTGGAACTGACTGAAGCACTCCTGCCAGCATTCAGTCAGCTCCCTGAGGTGGCGCTTCATCCTGGACCCAGCACGGGCAACCCAAGGAGCTGCGGAAGGGCAGCTGCTTCTTCCAGTGCCCCTAGAATGCCCTGCACTGGCAGAAAAGAAGCTGTCTGTCCACGAGGGGAGCTGGGGGAGGAGCAGTTTCCTAGCTGAGAGTGGGTCTGCAGCCCACCGGTCTGTCCATCCATCTGCCTGTCTGTCCAAGGGCTGGTCATCCCCGGCGCAGGTCACAACCCAGAGACTGAAATGCAGTGCCGTAAAGAAGGGAAGCAGGGCTAGCACCCTCCCCGCCTGCTGCCCCGGGTCCCCCAAGATCATCGTCTCCTCAGTCTCAGACCCAGTGCCTTACAGGATGTATTTCCGTAGACATTGTAGAAAGCCCATAAAAAATCCTGGATATGAAGAAATGAGGCATAAAACCCAGACTCTTTGGAAGTCAAGCTGAAAATTGTGGTAGCAGGTCTCCATAGCCATTTATTAAATGGGAGCACAACTTAACAGTTGCACCTACATGGATTCTGAGAACCACTTAGATCCTGTACTCTTGTGTTTTAGAAACATTAAGTGCTGTAGACTTGGGACAAGATCCAAGGTTGGCGTTCGTCTGGAGGGAGAGGAGTGAGTGGAGTGCGAGGCTGACCTGAGGAAACTTTCATTAAGTCTGGCTGAGGGCGCAGGACGTGGGTCACAACCTCTTTCTCCTTTAAATGTGCACGTTTTCACCGAAACGGAGCCCCAGTGTGAGATCCCGCACACCCGCGAAGGCACATTCCGAGTGCCGAGCATGCCCCTTCCCTTCACTGTTGTTTTCATTTTCCTCTCATGAACCTTGCTACCCTGGCTTCAGCACAGAGGCTGTAAAGGAAGATGGAGAGCCGAGTTACCTCAGAATGATCACTATCGTTAACATTCACGGGTGGTTCACTTATCATTCCTGACTGCACAGACATGGCAGCCGCTCGGAAGCGTCCGCAGGTGTAGCATGGTGATACATATTACATTGTGCCACAATGGATTTATGTATTCTGTAACAAAAGAAAAGTGTAATGAAAAAATACAGAAGGTAATCCTTTATTCCTCCACCACACAGTTTATCAGTAATGCCTGTGGATGGTAAGTGCCAGGGATTTCCTCCACATGCTTTAACCTTGTCACCCAGGTATGTTTGGGTAAAATGACAGAAAAATACAGACTAGGGATTTTCCTCTGTTCAAAAATCTTTTCAAAGGACACTTTTAATTATGGAAGTTAGTCCAAGCACAAGGCTTCCTTTTGAGCTTTTAGTCTGCCTTCGCTGAAAAGATAAATGTATTGGTTGGAAATAACACTATCAGCCAGCAGCAGATTAGGAGAGAATGTAAGCAGTTTACAAGCAGACTCAAATCTAAAATAGTTCAGGTGGAACCCGGACAGATGGAAGTTTGGGAGATCTAGCCCAATACTAGCTTGCGAGTACCCAAGAACTGGTGTTCCTTTTAGGTCCTACTCATCCATCGCCCAGCATATTGTCACAGATGGAGCGCATACTGACTTCCGAGGAGAAAGCAGGGGAAGGCAAGTCTGTACGCGAATGATTGGCATTTGTTCCAAACACACACTGGCCTAGTGCCAGAGCAAATACCCGCAAGTTTATAAATGCACAAGGCACTTTACATTTCAGAACTCTTGCCAGAGCATCACTTACTACCTCGCTCCCTAAATATAGTTTTAAAAAAAAGAGCTATTTCTTATTTTGCTTTGATCAGTAAAATAAACTTTTAAAGATTGTTCTGGGATGGGGTCCAGCTTCTGAGGTAAAGAACGGCCGGGGCTCAGGCATGATTCAGTAACAGAGTGTTCAGTAAAATTAGCTTGACAGTTCTCAGGCCTGCTGTTCGAGAGCAAAACTTGACCAAGTTAAAATGGATGATCGTGCTGGCTAGACCAGCATCGGCTTTTGCCTTTTAACAAATGGAACGTCAAGGATTGAACAGCAAGCCTTATGGAGAGGAGGGGGTGTGGAGATGTCTTTGTATTAGAGAAGCAAATTGGGTCCTTGGTTTTGAGATCAGCCCCCAGCCCCCTTGGAAAGCCAACCACCTGGTTGGGTCCAAACTGGGTTTAAGACCCCTTCCCAGCCTGTCCTACCATCGGGAAGCTTTTCCATGGCTTAGCTTGGGGCTTGGCTTTTCTTTCAGTTTTCTTGTCAGTATGAAGCTCTGCTGTGTTTTTTGGCTGTGTTCCGCTTTGAGATTCTTATGGGGAAATGGGAATGCAACCAAACTCCTTGTGGCAATTCCCATGTTCCATAGTTGGAAACTTGGGTCCCATTTGTTACATGAGCTGCTTGGAATTGGCCTGTTTTGTTTCAGTGCCCAAGCGTAGTGAGTAGTATTTGTGATACCTCCTATTGCAGTTAACGGTCGTAGTGAAGTTATCCCTCACCCAGGGATGGGCTTCTTTTTTAAGGCTACTTGTTCCTTACCAGTTTTTTTCTTATCTAGATGACCCCCCCCACCCCAAGTGTGATTGGCTAGAAGCTTATAAGTAGTGTTACTATTTTGTCGTAATTATTTACGCTTCAGCTAATATTTTGCTTGACCTTCTAAGACTAAGTAGATTAAAACATTACTACTGAAGTGTACACAGACTGTGTATTTTTTTTAATGCTTGTTTATTAATTTATTTATTTGCTTGCCAGTTAGGGAGAGTCTTTGTTTTCCTTATTCTAAATTGCTTTGGGCTATCATATCCACCCCCCATTTTCCCTCCAGGGCTCCATGAGCTTTAATATAATGGTAGTATCTGCCTGCAGTGACATCTACTGACACAAGCCAAGTTTATCGTTTGTTAGTCCTTGCTGCAGGATTTCGCTTGGGAACCAACACTAGGAAGCCATGGTACTAGTGACCCACACAGACCAATTGGATTCAATTTAAGATAAATAGAAACATCTTCCCTAATTCTGCCCTCTCTTTCACTTGGAACCGTTCATATTAGAATGCTTTTCTCGAGCCTGCTCTCTCTCTCTCTCTCTCTCTTTCGCGTTAGAAGTTTGTTTATTTAACCCTTTTTAAAATAACTGACACTTGATTGTACACTTACTCAAACTGAAACTCAGTGAGGACTGTGTTAACATCCCTTTGGTTGAATATTGGTCTTGATTTAATGTTTGTCTTTTCCTACAGAAATGCTGCTCATGGATTCTCCCTTATTCAGGTGGACAACACAAAGGTCACCATGAAAGAAATCTTGCTAAAGGCAGTGAAGCGAAGAAAAGGATCCCAGAAAATTTCAGGTGGGACAGTTAAATCATACTCTGGCAACAGAAGCTTAACCCTTAGTTAAAAGTGCTGGGTGTGGGTGTGGGTGTGGGTGTGGGTATGGGTGGGTGTTTGATGGCTGGCTGGATTGGTTCAGATGTCATTGCTGGGTTCAATAGCAAGTGTACAGCAGAAGAGTGATTTTAAGCTGCCCCTGGGCCCAAGGAAGGGATTGGGTCAGACATATGTGAGAAGAATGTGTCCATGTCACTTATGGAAGCTTCATCATTAATTTGCAATAGATTAAGGCAAAGCTACTTGAGCTAACTGTTAGTTGGCGTAAGGCTGTCTGGAAAACTGATTTAACCCTAAATTTGAAGCACTGCTTTTAATTTCATGTTTTCATGTAGTTTTCCATGGGGGAAATTTCTGGTTGCTAGTGTTTGGGGTATAGAATAATAGAAAACATTTTCTCATTTTTAGCAAAATGAGGGCAACTGTAAAAAAAAATTTTTTTTAAGATAAATCACTTGACACAAGTAGCTGTTAATCGCTAATTCCTCATTACTCAGTTTATACAGAAAATAAGCTTGTGGTATTAGCTGTAATATTTAAAGGATATGAGAAAAGAAAATATTCCCAATATTGAGAAATAATTATCTTGAGAAACAGCTCAAAGATTTATCACACCGTAGACAACTTTAGTATAAATCAACCTATCTATGACATGTCAGATATCTTAGCTTTGTAAGCAAATGAGACTTCTTAAACACCTTTGGTTTTATGTTTCGGAAAGGGAAAAAAAGCATGGCTCGGGTTGAGGAAAATAGTTCTGTGTTCCTTTTAAGGGGAGGAATATAATCTGTTCCAGATTTAATTAGCTATCTTCAGATGAAAGCTGAAGTTTTAATAAAAGTTAGAAGAGATAACACAGTGAAGGACACGGATGAGCTGTCTCAAGGCCATATTCCAAGGGAACGATAAGAGCTGTAAAAAATGGCAGAGGAGAGCAATTGAATGGAGCAATGAAAATCTGATTCTCATAAAAAAGAGAGAGAGAGAGAGATGCTGGTAGGGGCGGTTGTAGATGAGACCTGCTAGCGTCTGCAAGCAATTTGGATGCTTGCCAGGAGTCATTGTTCACCCTCGGCTGTGGCGGCTCCGTCCAGATGTGCCAACTGCACGTTTCGGCTTTTGCCAGCTGACTGCACCGTTTGATAACCAGCTCTCTGGATGCCCATCACTGGCCGCAGAGATAGAATTAAATGATGATGATCTTCCCACAAGTTGGGAGAGGAAACAATGCATATAAATCTTGATTTCATCTCAGCATGAGAAGTCTTTATCCATCATCACTCATAATGAACAAGTCGTTAGCTGGGATGAATGGTGTTCTGGTTTTTCCAAACACCTCTTTTGTTCATTTTTTGGGTGACTTTTATCCATTGCATGGGGGTCAAACCTCTTTGCATTTAAGGGATGATTGAAGAGGCATAGCCTCTACTTTCCCAGGGGAAAGTAGAAATTTAGGGTTCTAGGTGCCAATCTAATAGCATTTAAACAGTTTCAGATATTTAAAGGTGTTAAATAAGCATTCTTCTACCTTTAAGGATCCTGGTTTTTTCGTCGTTTTTGTCCCTAAATTTTTTATATAATAGTGTATTTTGTGACATATTTATTATATTCTGAGATAGCTTTATTCTGAATTGCCCAAGAGGAGGTAGGACTTTTTTAACCTTCTTAATAGGAATTCTGCTGTCGCACGTTTTTTAGATCATGAAAGCTCTGTGAACACACTGGGATACAGCTGAACCAGTGTCTTTCCCTCCGTCTCCAGCCATCCCTGTCCAATTGCCCACCTATTTATCTGTGTCCATCTCCAGCAACCATGTTTATCATACACACATTTATTTATGTTCACCTTTGTGTACACATCCCTGCCATTTCCATCAGAGTCTTTGCCATATCATTGGCAAAGAGTTAGGACTCGTTGTCTGAAAAACAGTCATCTGCATTATTTATTCCTTTTCATACTAGAGAAGTCAATTGAGATTGATGCATTTACATAAATTACTGTCCATTTTCTTGATCCAAAAAGCTTTTTAAAATAAGAAGCTCTTTCTATTGCTTTGTTAAGTCTGGTCTCATGAAATAGAGGGATTATCTCCAGTTTGGAAAAGATGTTTATTTAAGGTTAACTTGGTAAAGGCAGGGTATATTTTGTGTTTTGGAACTTTGTATTGTGGAGTGGACTTGTTTTGGAGGGTGATTAATGAAGGGGAAAATCGTCCTGTCATAGAAAGAAACACAAGTACATTTACTCAAAAAAAAAAGAAAAAAGTCTGTTAGTGCTCACAGTTGGCTGTGAAATACTTATTACTTACCCATTATGACACATGAACTTAGTCATGAACTTGGTGTCAGGAGATGCCAGGTTAGAGACACTCATCCTGCACTTCCTAAGCCTCTACCACAGTGACCCGCTCAGTCTTTGCAAGAAGGTGCCCGCCATGCCCCGGTGTCTGGCTTAGCCCTCTCTTCAAACAGCTTTCACCTGATTGAGTGCAGAACAGCACTTGTCTCTTTGCTACTATTATTTAATTTAAGTGAGAAGGGAGAAATAGCACTTGAGATTAGATAGCATGTGCCATGTGGGGTCAAGAGTTCTCACACTGCTTGTGCCTTAGAGGTTAGTTGTATTAGACCAGGATTTCAGAACTCCTTTCATAGGCTGACAGTGAACTCTAGCTGCTTACTCAACAAACCTTTAACATCTCTCATCTTTTTTTTCCCGAATGACCATACAACTCTCTTTAATAATAATAAATTGAGAACTTAAACTATTTCATTATTAAATCAAGCTGTGGGCTTAATGACTGACCTAGTGTTTAAATACTCTGTTGCCCTTCCCCCGGCATTCCCTCACCAATTTTCATTTGTAGAAAATCAGAAGGTGATAGATATTTGAGCCAAAGAATTCTTCTTTGTTTAGGTAAATAGCTTTGTCAATGGAAACCTCTAGGGTTTTAAAATATTTTTGCTTTTTATGGATAGAATATCATTACAGATACTTGCAACTGATCTAAAATTTTGACTTGCATTATTTGTAATTATTTCATCAAGTCATAACTATTTATGAACACTGCAGGGTTTTTTCTATTAATATTCATGTACTGAACTTACAGTAATCTTTTCATAGTGTGTCCCAGTCAGTTCTCTGCTAAGGCCTTTTTTTTTTTTTTTTTTTTTTTTTGCGGTACTCAGGCCTCTCACTGTTGTGGCCTCTCCCGTTGCGGAGCACAGGCTCCGGACGTGCAGGCTCAGCGGCCATGGCTTACGGGCCCAGCTGCTCCGCGGCATGTGGGATCTTCCCGGACCGGGGCACGAACCCGTGTCCCCTGCATCGGCAGGCAGACTCTCAACCACTGCGCCACCAGGGAAGCCCAAGGCCTATTTTTTTAAGCCCATTTTTAAATGTCTCTTTTAAAAGTCTCTCTCCAGCTTTTCATTTTATTACTGACCTACTTGACATTTGGAATCTACTTGCATTGGCAGAAAGTCCCCATGATTTAAGAAAATTGTAAATGGAGAATCCAGTTTTAGAAGAATTAGCTGAAACTTCTCTACTAATTTTAACAGTTGGGTGGGTATGTTTTTAACATAATGACGAGTAGCCTGTCAGGTCCCTTGATTTAACCAGTAAAATACACTAACCTGTTGTTTAGTGAGTAAAGGCCTTAGTTTGTCAAGTTCTCCTTTTATCAAGTACATCCTCACAATCAGTGATGACCTTCTGAGCTTCTTAGTATTTTGATGTTGTTTAAAATGTTATTACACACCAACCTTTACCAGCCTCCTGAAGCATGATGTTGGGTATGACAGAGGCACTTGAGAAATGGAGGTAGACCTAAATTCAGTTGTAACACTGATGCAGAAGTAGAGGTATCTCTGGGTCTACAAAAGAGAGAAGGCTTCGAAGTAGGATTTTCTAAGCAGAATAGTGATCTGTATGGCTCTATTTCAATATTTGTTGTTATTATAAAATGGAGGAGTTTTTCATTATCATCTGCTGAGAGATTGAACCAGAAGCATATCAACTTTTTCTCACCCCTGTCCATTCTTGCCTTTTGATGTGAAGGACAAATTTTTATTAGTCTGAAGATCCTTTTTGAAAAGTTCTTACAATATTAATAAGACTTACGACATTAATTCCTACTTTTCCTGTACAAAATTTCACCTAGAATTTGAAAGATAAATGTTAGCTTTGTCAAGTGAACTCCCTCTTAACATCTCTGTTTGGAGTTACAGACCACATTATTGATAGCTAATTTACTGTGTTTTCACTAGACACCTAGAATGTCACCAAGGAGATAGTCTAGTCTAGGACTTCTCAAACACTATTCCCTAAAGTACTGCTGGAGCAGAGAGGGGAGTGAACATCCACCACAGGGTGTGTGAGGTTCTGATCTGAGGGACGGCTAATGATGACAGCATTGGATGCTCAAGTTATATCTTAAAAATTCATGTAAGGTGTAAATATTGATCTATAATGTATTTGTAGCTGTGTGTACACTCACTCATGCTCTCACGGGTCAGACCTATGCTGGGTGCAGGGAGACTGTGGTGAAGCAGATCTACAGGACCCTTGCTGAAGAGGAGCTTACATTCTAAAATGAGAGTAAACATGAGGGGCTGAGAGAGAGAAGATGAGATGCAGGGGAGCTCACTGCTTTCTATGGATGGTCAGGGAACACCTCCCAGAGAAATTGACATTGAAATTGTGACCTTCACATTTAAGCTGTGAAGAGTTGGAGAGGGGCAGTGTCTTTCAAAGCCTTGGCTGTTAAAGTCTTACTATTTTAATATAAAAAGAACATTTCAGATTACTTTGAAGTTAATTTACTTAACTTTCTCCCCCCATCCCCCCCCCCCAAAATGTAGTAAAAATGACCCTTGAATTCTTCCCTGTGCTAACTCCACACATTTTCTTATCCATTAGCAAGTCCTCTTATTTTTACCTCCAGAATATGTCCTG